GTGGTTTTTACCGATCTTCCGCCTTCGCAACCGTCGTCAGACTTCGGCAACCCTCATTCCGGCTTCCCTCTTTCTGGTAAGTTATTATTTCTCCTGGTTTCAGTTTCTTATTACCTTACTGAACTTTTACTGTTTTACCTGCTATTTTTACAATCTTATTCATATTTCTGATATTTCATCTTGCATTTTGTATCCCACCATATATTTGAACTTGTTTGCTTCATGATTCTGTTTTTACCCAAATCATCTTCTTGAATATACACTGTTCACACTCCTGTTAATTTCTGCCACTATTCTTGGCCTGTTACCCTTCGTATTTACAATGTTCTTGATAGTCCATCTTTGTTCTTGATTTTGAAGCGCGTTCTTGCTTTTCTGTTTTCCAGATTCGTGCTTTCAATCTTCGTTTCCATAGATCTAGGCTTGGGATTTGTTTGTAGAACTCAAAACAATTGTTAGGGAAAATTGAAACGGTTCCCCATAGATTTTGTGTATCCTCCAGTTTTAGCCGAGGTCCATAAAACCCTTTTAGAAACACACCCTTCTGAAATCCAACCCCTTTAGTTAAGCCGATATCATGGGTATGTGGAAGCATAGGGTAGACACCCCGACAAAATTAGAATACTTTAGGCGAGAATTTTCCATCCCTGCCAACGTTCATCTGAGGTTGGCTGGGGATGACGACTCCATCATGCCCATCACTGATTCTATGCCCTTCCCTGTAGTGGCCTTTATCGAATGCGGACTTCGATTCCCACTAAACATCCTTTTTCGTGAAATACTTCTTTACTATAAGTTGAGCCCTATGCAACTTGCCATCAATTCCTATCGAGTTATCAACGGTATAATTGCCTTAGCTAAACAAGAAAATGGTAGGATTACCTTAGCCGATATCCAATATTGCTACACCATGTGTGGCCTCAAAAAAGATACGGGCTATATTTATTACCTTAAGCCGAGGTCCACAGAATACAAAATCGTAGCCGACCTCCCAGGCTCCTACAAGGGAGCTGGAGACGATTACTTCATTACCTCGGGGAACTGGGAATTTGCTCCAGACGAGGACCTCCATCTCTACCTTCTTCCTCGATCAGTTTTTGTAGAGGGCAATGGTAAGAGCCTTGTGTCCATATTACTTGTTTATTTCAAAGTCTTCGATACTCTATTTGTTTCTAATGTTTGTTTTTCTTGTAGCTCTTTCTCAACCACCAAAGGGCTTCCGTCAGTCTTTCTTTCCCAGCAAAGACTTTAGGAAACTTTTGGATATGCCAGTCCATAAATGGAAGGCCCCTCTTCTGCTTAATTTCATTCCTACGTATAAGTCAGCTCTTCTTGACGTCCCCAAGAAGAAGAAGAAGAAGAAGAGTCTATCTCCTCCTTCTGCCACAACTCCTCAGACTACCTCCACATCTCGGCAAGATCAAGGATCGACCTCTGATCCAGCCGAGCAGCCGTCAACCTTGGCTCCTTATCTGATCTCAATATCCCAGCGCCAACGTCGGCGAAGAACTGTTTTTGCTGCTGAAATGGGTCGCCAAAAAGCAGTTGCTAAGGATCTCTTAGCCAGCATCCTTGATTTAGTTGATGCCCAATCAACGCCAACCCAACCAAAGCCGAAGACAAAAAGGATTAAGAGGGCTCAACCAAAGGCAAAGGTGACTCAGGTTGACACTGAGGACACTTTGCCGATTTCAAAACTGGCTGAGAGTGATAAGTCCTACTCTACCGCGGAGAAGAGGCCTGCCGAGGCCCAACCATCCGAGTCTACCTCGATCAAAGAGGCCGAGGTCATCCGCTACAACCACCTCAGGGTCTTCAAAGCGCGATGCCCCCTGGGCCCCCCAAATCACTTTGGAAGATAAGCCAGTTATGGTTAGCGACAGTGCCGATGACATTAATGTCGCCGTCATCCTTAGTACCGCTCTGCTCCTTCCCGGCGATCTCGACCGAAACGCTGAGATGAGCAGATATGAGAACTACACTCTGATGCTCCAGCACTCTGTTCAGGTAAGTCTCTTTATTGGGAAGTTTTTCTTTCTTTCTCTTCAGTATATACTTACAATATTTTCTAATAACTTCTATTTACTTTCAGGCCATCCAGCATACTCATTCTTTCTCAGTTCAATCTTTCCAGAACCGGGAGAAGCTGGCCGAGAAGAAGAGGGTGGTCTCCAGTCTGCAAAAGACTAACAAAAATCTGCAGTCAAATATGAAGACTTTGGAGGATCAGGCCGAGGCTACCATCAAAGCTCAAAATGACGCTGAAGAAAAGGCGGACTCTGCTGAGGCCATCAAAAAGGTGCTTGAGGCCGAAAAGAATGATGCTGAGGAGAAAACGACCCAGGCCCAAAAAGAATTGCAAGACACTCTAGCCACAAAAGAGGCCAAAGTCAAGGCAGCCGATGAGAAGGGCTACAACGAAGGGGTGGCCGATGTCACGGCGGACTATGAAAAGCAAGTGATGCAGGCATGCAACAAGGGCTTCACCCTTGGTTGGATGTCTCTTCTAAAAAAGCTTGAAGTCCTCGAGGACTCACCCCTCAGGAACGCCGATGCCATTCCTCTTCCATTCCCTCCAACTCCAACTCAATCTGATGATGACTCTGAATCTGAGGAGGAGGTTTTGGTGAAAAAGTCAAAAGACGCTGCTGGGGCCAAGTCCCCTTCTCTGAATGGGCAAGTTCTAGACTTGACTCAAGATGAGGAGGGTGCGGAGGTTCCCAAAGATGTTGCACCTCAAAAGGCGATATCGGACGTGTCCATTGCCGACAAGAGCCTTGATCAAACTTTGCAAGAAATTGACGCTGAGCTTGCGGCTGAGAAGGCTGTCGAGATGTCTTCTCAGCAGTCCTCTGAGGTCCAAACCCAGCCTGCTAATGATGCTGAAGAATCTTAATTTTGATGTTTTTTTCTTATCTTTTGTACTTTTTCTTTTTTTGGAACAATTGTAAGCTTTTGGCCGACGTGCCTTTTTTGAATATTAATACAACTTTTCTTCTCTGAATGCTTGTATCTTTGTCTTCTTTTTACTGCTTTTGCATGATTATACTTATAATATTTTGTATATCTTTAATATACACTTCAATTCTTGTGCAACCTTCTCGGGGTGACATACCTTGGTTATACAACCTAATGATTTACTTTGGCAAGTACCCAAGTACCTTTCTTGGTATAACCTTGGTTCCGTCTTGTAAAAATTATAAAATTTCAACAAGTGTTTAACTTCAGTCTAACTTTGACTTGTAAACTTGTTAAGTTTCAACAAGTGTCAATCATAATCTCGGTTTAACTTCAACTTGTAAACTTTTCTCAAGTTTCAACAAGTGTTAAACATCATCTCGGTTTAACTTCAACTTGTAAACTTTTCTCAAGTTTCAACAAGTGTTAAACATCATATCGATTTAACTTCAACTTGTAAACTTTTCTCAAGTTTCAACAAGTGTTAAACATCATATCGATTTAACTTCAACTTGTAAACTTTTCTCAAGTTTCAACAAGTGTTAAACATCATATCGATTTAACTTCAACTTGTAAACTTTTCTCAAGTTTCAACAAGTGTTAAACATAATCTCGGTTTAACTTCAACTTGTAAACTTTTCTCAATTTTCAACAAGTGTTAAACATCATCTCTTCTCTCTGCCCCCTAATGTGAACCTAAGTTCCACTTGGGGTCTCATTATGCATGTATTCTAGGAACAATGTTATGTATCGTTATCAGTCACAAATATAGAAGAATTCTGCTAAAATTTTATTCATTATGTCGGCAATCAACAAGGAAAATCTAATGATAGAAAAACTTCAGATTACAAGTATTCCAGGGTCTTGACAACTCTTTGCCCTCATTATCTTCAAGCCGATATGCCCCATTGCCTAATACCGAAGTGATTCTGTAAGGTCCTTCCCAGTTTGGGCCAAGATTGCCCTCCCTGGGATCCTTCTTGTTGCCGACGACTTTTCTTAAGACTAGATCGCCGACTTGGAACTCCCTTGGGTTTACTTTTTTATTATAAGCTTCGGCAAGCTGCTGCTGGTAGGCTGCGAGCTGAATTGCAGCTCTCTCCCTTCTTTCTTCTAGTAGGTCCAGATCTCGGGTTAAGAGTACATCATTAGTTCCGTTCTCTACTCCCTAGGTTCTGATCCTAGGGATGCCGACTTCAAGCGAAATGACAGCTTCTGTGCCATAGGTCATGGCAAAGGGGGATTCCCCCGTTGATCTTCTCGGCGTAGTCCGATACGCCCAGAGCACACTTGGTAGTTCATCCATCCACTTTCCTTTTGCTTCCTGCAGCCTCTTCTTTATCCTATCCAGGATAACTTTGTTGGATGCTTTTGCTTGTCAATTGCTTTGAGGAAAGCTTGGGGTTGAAAAGTAGTTCTTGATCTTGAACTTTGCACAGAAGTTCTTGATTAGCTTGCTGTCAAATTGTGTTCTATTGTCAGCAATTATTGCTCTCGGAATCCCAAATCTGGTGATGATGTTCCTCCATAAGAAGTTCTTCACGTCTACATCCCGGATCTTGGCTAGGGGCTCAGCTTCTATCCACTTGGTGAAGTAATCTGTTGCTACCAGCAGGTACTTCCTTTGGTCAAGAAAAAGAAAGATTAAAATCAAATTGAGCATGAAATGTGGTGAATTCTTCATTCCCAATCTTTGACTGGATCATTGGGTTGGTGATAAGCCACTATCTATTACAACATAAATTAAATAAAGTTGGAGAGATGTTCCTTTCTCTATTCATATTGTCAAGGTAGATGAGCAGTAAATTGATGGACCTGCAATAACATTGCTAGCTTGTGGAGCTGGAGTTCATTACTCACCATTGCCTGTGGAAAATTTTATTTTAAAAAAGGAAAAAATGTGAAAAGGTGGTTCTCACGTTAAGACCCCACTCCTTGTGACTGTTCTTTGACCGGGCTCGACGCACGTAAGTACGCTAATTTTTTTTAAGACTCTGGGACAACAAATTAAAAAGAATTGTGAATCACCACCGCAACAAAACTACTAACAACAAATAAATTTTGAAATTTAAGAGAAAGACTATAGTCATGAATAAGTCTTTACTGGACAAAGTTTCATTGCATGGATATACTCTTAGACAATATTTTGGCCCTGATTAATAAATTAGTACAATCAAATGATATCCTTCTCAACTATGAAATTCAAATATCTAAACATGAGGACTATGGAAAAGGTCCCATCCAAAAAAATTGTGAGATATTTTGGGGCCATTACTCTGAAGTGGTGCTGGGCAGAGTCTGGAGGAATGCATTAGCCAACATCTCCCCTAGTTGAACCTGGGCTTGAGTGGTAAGGTGCAAATGATCTGGTTCCAGTTGCAATCCCTTGGCATCCACACATTTCACATTGGCAAGATCTATTCCCAACTGAGCTTCTCTCACTTTCTCAATATAAGGTCCCTGTCCTGATGCCAATGCCACCTACCCCATATATACCAAAAATCAATTTTCAAACTTTTGAAGTAGTTGGGCTAGTTGCACCTAATGAAATGAGTTCCAATCCAACCACAGATTATTCAAAAACAAAAAGCAACTAGAAGACTAGAGTGTGTGCTGTGTGTGTATGTACCTAAATGAAAAGAAAAATGTTTTACAGCTCTAAAAGAAGAAGAGCTCTAAAATAGCATTAATTTGTCTTTTTTCCCCTTGTGTTTTGTCTTTTCTTCTTTTTTATTTTTTTTGGGAGGGGGGTGTGCCAGCTTAATAGAGCTGCTTCCCCCCTTCTTTTTAGAGCAGTTCTACTAGAGCTCTCTATCAAAGCTGGAATGAAAAATGTTTGGCAACTCTAAAATATGGGCTCTAGGGGTGGGCTCACTATTGATGTGATATTTTGGTTTTAAATTTTTTATATTGTTTTTTGAGTTTTCATATCATTAAAGCTTCAAAATTAGAGGAATGTATCATTTCTGGTACCTGAATAATGGGTAGCAGTGGAGATTGCAGATCAGCACGCAGGTCCATGAAGAATCTCTCCAGTCGGCCCTTGTACAAAGCAGCGTCATCTGGATTCACAGTGTCGCTCTCACCCTGATACCACAGCACTGCTTGGATCGACCCACCACCATCTTGCAAAGCCGCACTAGCCCGACTCACCAACTGGTTGTAAAGATAAGTCCCACGAGCCCACTCGCTATTTTGGTCCCGCCGATCGCACAAGGGACCAATCCCACAACCCCCCCGATGCTCATGCTCAAGTTCTTGTTGTCCAACACAGTATTGGCAAACACCATTCCAGGTCCAACCCCGCAAGTGTTGGGATATACCTCCTTATTGGAGTGTGGGACCCAGTTGATTTATTAAAAGAGGTTTAATTTGGCTTAATTTAGTATAATATATTTTTATATATTATATTTGAAGAAACCCAATCCAATTTGGATACAACTAGGGTTTAGTAAGATAAGTCCCACGAGCCCACTCGCTTATCTTGGTCCCGCCGATCGCACAAGGGACCAATCCCACAACCCCCCCGATGCTAAAGCTCAAGTTCTTGTTGTCCAACACAGTATTGGCAAACACCATTCCAGGTCCAACCCCGCAAGTAGCGTTCACATCAATGTCCTTATGGAGGGGCTCGCTTGCCTCCTCCCAGTTGAGCTCCGAGCTGAGTCGAAGGATTGCTGGGTTAGGTTGACATTGAGGCGGCACAACCCCGTCCCAGGTGCCGTTATTAACGCCGCCTCGGCCGGACATGTTGCTTTGTCCGGCCAAAATGAAAATGCTCTTGTTGTTGTCTTCTTGGGAAGAAGCAGGAAATATCAAACCGGCGTAAGCCACAAGCATCAGCCACACAAAAGCAACCATCGCCTTAGCTTTGCGGCTTCTTCTTGTATGTCTCTCAACTACCCACTCAAATGCACATGCTGTGAATTGGCCCTTTTAGAAAGCAAGTTGATTCACGCCATTATTTTACTCACCACTTGCCCAACTTATTAATAGTTTCTTTATTTAATACTTCTCAAACTTATTAAGCTATTCAAATTCGATATTAAACGTCGTATTTGGTTAAAAAAAATTTAAAAAATTTAGAAAGGAAAAGAGAAAAAATAGGTAAAATAAAAATAAAATATATTTATATTTTATCTAATTTTACACACATTTTTTCCTTCATTTTCTAATTTTTTTTCTAAATCCCCAAACCAAACACAATATTAAGGTGTTACTATCCCATATATTTCGTCCATTATATATATAATTGTTGGCATACACGACACCTGTGCAGTTGAAATAAGTGAAATTAAAATAAAATATTTATTATATATTGTGTGTTGTTCACGTAGTGAGAATCCCTTTTATTAGACTCAAGGTTGAAGGTTTCTCACTTCTTCCATCTATCTTATTTATTTATTTATTTATTTTAAATAGAAAAATGAGGGACACGTAACAAAATGAGACGCAAGGTTTGAATATTAAATGAGTTGTTCACTTTATAAAATAGGGGAAATTGCATTTTAGTGGTGCAATGAAAAAATATTTTCATTTTCATAATGGTGAAAGCTTTCTTGTGCATGGTGTAAATCATTTATGTGCATAGTGCAAGTCCATCCTATGTGTCAGAATTGAACCACAAAGATCTCATCTACGGTGCAACTATATTTTTCCACTGTCCCATTGATTTGCTATTTCTTCTATCAGTAATATTACACCCCGACTAATTTTGGAATCTCAAAACTAACCCCCAATGACATGGCAAGTACTCATTAGATAATTTTTATATTTTAGTGGTGTTTTCAAGTGATGTGGCTTATGACACATCACTCGGGGTTGGTTTCTAAGGGTCCAAAAATTTTTCCTTCCCCTATATAATAGTATAGATAACTAGTGGTAGGTCACGTCCATGGGAGATCTACGTGAAGAGCTCTAATTTGTAGTGGGAAAAAAAAAAGGGGAAAGATTTTGACCCTTATAATAAAATAAATATTAAGTTTTTAATTTTATCAATTTAAATATTAATTAATTAATTAATTTTTAATTTAAATCATTCATATATTTCCGTTACGTAAAATCGACAAAAAATTATATTTTAATATTTAAATTCAATGTATGTGTACATAAAATATAATTTTTCATTAATTTTAATAATTAAAATAAATTTTTCGTTGATTTTATTTAATAAAAGTTGGCTTATGGTTTATATTAAAAATAAATCTAAAGATCAGAATTTAAACGGATAAAATAAAAAAATCAATATTTATTTTGTTATAAGGATCAAATTCTGAGATTTTTTTTTTATTTTTTTATAATTTCTCCAAATTATTTTGGGTTGTTTGGTAGTTACTTTTTTTTAGAAGTTTAAGTAAAAAGTGAATCTTACTTAAAAATGAAGTAAAGGCCTTTACTTACCCAAAAAACAAAGAAGTGAAGGCCAAAAAATAATAGCTCCAAACTTAGCTTGAGACACTATAACAAAAACATACTTTAGTGGCACTATACTAGTGGCACATTTTTAGAAAATGCCACAAAAAATGATATTTAGTGGCACGTTTTTTAAAAATGTCACAAAACGACAAACATAAAAGGCTCTAGTGACATTTCAATGAACAAGTGTCACAAAATTACAACAAAAACATACTTTAGTGGCACTACACTAGTGGCATATTTTTAGAAAATGCCACAAAAATGATATTTAGTGGCACGTTTTTGAAAAATGCCACAAAACGACAAACATAAAAGGCTCTAGTGACATTTCAATGAACAAGTGTCACAAAACTATAACAAAAACACACTTTAGTGACACTATACTAGTGAAAACGTATGCTTAAAGCCTGAACAACAAGCTGAGAAAGGGCCCCATACATTAGTGTGAATAAGAGCTAATAGTTTATTAACAGTTGAATTTGACAAGCTAAAGGGTAGTCTATGACTTTTAGAAACACAACAATGCTCACATAGACTAGATGTTTTATTTGCAGAACAAATGGCTGTGAGTAAGAACATGATGAAGCTTTCTAGAAGAAGGATGACCAAGCCTAGAATGCCAATTAGGAGCAACACTGTGTGAAGCAGTAGAAGATGGCCTTGTAGAACAAGAGAAGTAGACTGGAGATGAAGTTGCAGCAGAAGAGGACGGAGATGCAAGAGGATAGAGGCCATTACAATAGGAACCTCAATATAGCTCTTTCTGAGTAGTCTTGTCTTGAATAACAAAAGAATGTCCATTAAAAGTAATAGTACAATGATTGTCTACTGCTAATTGATGTACTGAAAGCAAGTTGGAAGAAATAGAAGGAACATGAAGTATGTTGTTGAGATGAAAGGGAAAGTTAGGAGTTGGAAGGAGGCCATTATTAGTGTTAGTAATAGGTAATGAGAAGCCATCACCAATAGCAACTTTGATCATAGCCTTGAGAAGGCTGATAGGTGGATAGATTGCTCAGATCATTGGTCATATGACTTGTGGCTGTAGAGTCCAAAAACTAGTTAGAAGTAGATGGAGTAGAGACCGAAGTTGAATTTGCAGGCGCATAGGCTTTAGCTACTTGTGATGAGACATTAGGTGAATAGCTGGTAGAAGAACTGTGTTGACCTCCCTGAAAAGACTCTTCCATTTGAAACCAACAGTTCAAAGCAGTGTGATTAGCTTTTCCACATATCTAACAAACCACATAACTGGCATTGGGACTAGAGTCCGGATCCTCGGCCGCACAATCCTGCGGCCATCCCTGCAGCACCCCCAAAATGACGTCATTTTAGGGGAAATTTCAATTTAAAAAAAAAAAACGGAACAAAAACCAGAGGAGAGGGGGGCCAAAATCAAGATTGATTCGTAATCCATCTCTGCTTCTCTCTCATTTTGATTCGTAATCCATCTCTGCTTCTCTCTCATTTTTCTTATATGCCCTTGTGTTTGTATATTGGTTTCTGATGCAAGATGGGTTTTTTTTTTTTTTTAATATTTTCTCTTCTTTGTTTGTTTACTGAGAAAACTGAGCATTAGAAGCAAAGTTTTGTCTAGATTAAGCAAGATTTCTCAGATTTTTGTATATATATATATACAAAAATCTAAGAAGAAGAGAAGAGAACAATTTTGAAGAAAAAATTGAACATTTATATATATATATATATATATCTCAGATTTTGATTTATGAGAAAATCCAATTTTGAACATTTATATATATATCCAGATTTTGAGAAAATCTAATTTAACATCTATATATATGTTTAATGGTCTATTTCTCAGATTTTGAACATCCAATTTTGAACATTTATATATATATCCAGATTTTTGAACATCCAAATGATAAATCAAAATTGAACATTTATATATATATATCTCACATTTATATATATATATACTGTGTGGGTAATTTTCCGATCACACTGCCAACTCAGTAATTAGCTGGAGAGTACTGGCAGAACAGATGGCACCTGGCTGACCTGCAACAGAAAGAGAAGATTCTGATGGTGGTTCGTCTACCTGGGGGCACTCCGACGATCAAGTCAGTATATCTCTCAAAGATAATCAATAGTGCTAAACTCACTATTCAAAATATGAATTGCGTACCTTAGACCCATCGAGGGTGCCTTTCTTTTATAATTACCTCAATCCTAGTCCCCATAGAAGCCTAGCTTCAATGGCCTTCTGTTCAGTGCTTATCCAAGACTCTCCAATAGATAAAGATAAACTCCCTAAGAGTGTTATTCTTATCCATGCTAAAGTCTTTCCTCATTCTAGGACTTCCTTGTGCCTTATCCGCTTATCTCGGATTCTGATATTTTCGGAAATAACCTCGGCCTAACCGAGATCACCTCGGCGTCATAACCTGGACACATGGCACCTCGGCTGACACGTCGGCGTCACCTTGGCCATGTGTTGGGACTTAGAAAATATATCCCCACAACTGCCCTCTAGGTTCTATTACCTCGACATTCTAAGGTGATGGAACCTATATCGGTACTTCCTGCCAGTACATCGGCTTAAGCAGAGCTCATCACTATAGGCCGACATGTCTTCTTAAAGATCAAGAATTCCAAGAGCTTCTTCATGCGTATGAGCTGTCATGCATCATAATTCAACCGTTTCAGTCACGTGTCCTGGATCATACTCGGTACGTGCTTCTAAATCATCTCACGCGTGCATGCGCCGTCTGACGCTCACGTTGTTTTAGGCGCATTAATTCTGTTTTGCCGTCGTTTCAAGTTTTAACAAAACTTTTTCCCCCTTTCCTTATTTCCTCACTTTTCTCCATCGTCTCTGAAGCTTTCTCTCTCTGGCGTTTTCTTCCAAACCCTTCACTGTTCAAGCTTCCAAAGCTCTACAACTCGCTCCGTCCACCTCCTCCGGCGAGGTTCTTACTAATTCTCTGTATAGCTGCCGTTCGTCGGACTTCGGCAAACTCAACACCGGCTTCCTCTTTTCGGTGAGTTTACTGTTTCTCCTATTTTCAATTTTTGATGCCCTTCATTACTCGTTTCCATTACTGCTTTGTTCAAACATTCGATTTGTGAATCATATATCTGAATGTGATTATTCCACGACTTCGCTCTTGTTCACGTCTTGATTTTACGTACTGCTTGCCAATTTTTTCTTGTACTTTTGCTATTATTCCTGGCCTGTTACCCTTCGTATTTACAATGTTCTTGATAGTCCATCTTTGTTCTTGATTTTGAAGCGCGTTCTTGCTTTTCTGTTTTCTAGATTCATGCTTTCAATCTTCGTTTCCATAGATCTAGGCTTGGGATTTGTTTGTAGAACTCAAAACAATTGTTAGGGAAAATTGAAACGATTCCCCATAGATTTTGTGTATCCTCCAGTTTTAGCCGAGGTCCATAAAACCCTTTTAGAAACGCACCCTTCTGAAATCCAACCCCTTCAGTTAAGCCGATATCATGGGTATGTGGAAGCATAGGGTAGACACCCCGACAAAATTAGAATACTTTAGGCGAGAGTTTTCCATCCCTACCGACGTTCATCTGAGGTTGGCTGGGGAT